TGACCAGCTGACCGTCACTTGGAATGTCCTGTCTGTCAAGCTGCTCTTATCCACTGGTTATGAATAATTATTTGTTTTAGGTTGCTGACCAGAACTTGAATCTTCCACCTTTTAATCACATATCCTAATGCTTGGCTACTATAAGGTAAAATTCTGATTGTAGAGATATGAAGTCTTTCCTTTGTGATATTCTTATTAAAACTGGACTGATTGTGCAGAATTGTATATTTTTATAAATCTGTTATCTAAGATTTTACCAAATTTTCCCTAGCATCCCATCCTCCCTCTCCTCCCATATACAATTCAAAAAAAAATACAGAGCGATCAACAGCAGAAGATGGATAACTGACAAGGGCTCTGGTCACTGTATTTCAGTTATAGGCTTTGGTTACAACGTGGTGGTAGGTTCATGAAAAAGTGTAGCAGTAATCCTCCAAGAAGAAATTTTATTGGAAAGCTCTATTGACACATTCTTTTGAGTTAACAATGTTGCATGCTACTGCTGCAATGTCCAGTTTGTTTTTGCACTCAGGCTGGTGATGAGGCTCTTTCATCTCCAAAAAATACACCAGTTATATTAGTCACTGCTGTATTTGCAACCAGCCATGACCATGGTCATGTCCTGATTGTTGCTGAGGACTTTGTGGTTAACACAGATAATCTGCTGATGACACTAAAAGTCTGTGAGAAGTCACTAATACCTGGGATATATTGCAAAAAAATGGGGATGTTTGAAGCTAATCATGCGCGATTTGGAGTTGTCAATGCATGGATAAGAGGTACCTCAGAAGAGGTAGACTGGGCAATTGTTGTTGTAATATGTACGATAACAGGAACATAAATCCCCCCATACATGTAATGCATAGAAGGCAGGACACTAGACCTCATAATATGCAAGCTGAAGCAGTAGTCCCCTTCTGAGAGTAAGGCAGGGCAGAGCTTGGTGCAGAGAGCACATGTTATGTGACGCAAAAGCTAACTTCATCACAGAAAGTATGTTCTCACATGCTTATCAGTGAGAGATTTAATTGTTGGCTTATAGGTCAACATACCTGTGTCTCAAGCATACCAACATATAGGTCAACATACCATACAGTGTCTCAAAAAAACCTGAAGATGTGAAATCAGCCCAGGCTGGTAAAATATGGAAGAGTTAACAGGAGGAAACTTATATGAGACAAATATGGTAATAGATGAGGCGTTAAAAACGGATGAACAGGACGCATACTGCGAAAGGGTTAAAAATGAGCCTGAATAAAGAATATGAAAGATGGATCAGATCAAAAGTGCAGAAAGGTTTAAAAAAAGGACTTAGTAGAATAGCTTACAGAATAATTTACATTGGAAGGGATTTCCAGAGGTCATGTGGGCCAACTCCATGCTCAGTGCAGGTCTCATGAGAGCAGGTTGCTCAAGGCTGTGTCCAGGCACGTTTGAATATCTCCAGGGAGGTGGTTCCCCAGTCTCTTTTGGACCCTGTTTCAGGGCTTGACCACCTTCAAAAAAAAGTATCCTTATATCTAATTGGAATTTCTTGTGTTGCTGCTCGTCTCTATTCCCTCTTGTCCTGTTGCTGTGCATCGTTGAGAAGAGCCTGCCTCAGTTGCTCTCCTGGTGGGTAGCTGTAGAGAGCAACAAGGTGTCCCCTCACCTTTCTGTTCTTAAGGCTCAAAAAAGCCAGTGCTCTACCTCTTTTTGTACATCTTGTGCTCCAGCTACCTAATCATCTTGTTTGAAGTTGAACTGGATGAAGGTTCTTGCCTCCATTTAAAATTGTCTTTATGGATGCTTGTAGCAGAAAAATAAAGGGAATAGCAGAGTCAACATCATAATATAGAGCAAAACTTTATCCTGCACATTTATTTTCTGCTTATACAGGGCTATGTTTTTAAAATGGATTATTAAGTTGGTCCCAGTAAAGATTAGGCCAAGCCACACTAAAACCAGCTCTGTTGTTTCCTGTCCCTAAAAGTATAAATGACTTTGAAATGTCCTGATGGACGGCATGACACAAATGGTCAATGATAAATACTGCTGACACAACAATTATTCTTTGCTTTCCAGCATTGGTTTTAAATGTCAAATAGTTTGATAATGCAAGAGCAGGATGGAACGCAGATTCAGTGGCCTGAATCGTCTTGTCTGAATTTTAAACTGGGTTCATTCTCCAGTTTTCTTTTTATGCTCTAATATCTGCTTATCTTGCTTCTTTGGAAACACCTGAACTTTGAATTTAGTTCATAGAATTTCTCTTGTTTTCTTTTTATTTTTTGGAAGTTTTGAGGAAATGACTTTCCCAAGTTACAGTTTGAGAAGGGCATACTATGCACTTGTAAGTGGTTGCAAAGGCATCTGATTTATTGTTTAGTTTGTAGACTCTGAAGTGGTGCAGATGAAGCCTGGGGATGCTCTTCATGAAGCAGGTGCGTAATTCTGAGCGGTATGAAACGGGATGGGACGTTGCAGACTTCATTCAAAGTGTTGGATCTGCCTGCTCTGTAATCAACAATTAGGTGAAAATAGCTCACGTTTGACTGCATTTGAACTGCTTATTTCTTTAGTGTCTGGACAAGTTTGTTCAATGCGTATGACTGACAGCAGCTTACTTTTTCAGATGGTTGGTGTGGACTCTAATCCAGTTGCAATTTGTGGTATTATTCGTGCTGAGCACATTCCATGGTTTCAGTGGAAGGTGCACAGAATCATAGTTGTCTTCTGAGGGACCTAGAGGAAAAAAAAAAGATTGGGGGAGCAAGAATTTTTTTTTAAGTGATGTGCTTTTTTAAAGTGTTTTGAATGAAATAGTTTACATGAGGTAAGGTAATATTCCAAATTTGAATGAATTATCACAATATGTGTTACAGAAGCACATTAGCGTTCTACTTTATTTAAAGAGGTCTAGGAGATAGAACACCACGTACTGCGGTTCTGCAAGGTTATTTGCTTTTCTCCTGAAGCAATAGTAATAAAGCTGAGGGGAAAAACATGCAAATTTCACTTCAAAAGAAATATATCTGTAAACAGACAAGCTGAGATCTATATCAGAGGGGATGACACTCTTTAAAATGTTCACTGCTGCACAGCATAATGAATATTCATGTAAATATCCATGTATGTGGGGTTCTCTTACATTTTGGACATAGTACGTGTAAATGTGTCAATTGTTTTGTGGCTTGTAGTATTTTCAACTATGGTTGCAAAACACAAACCTTTACAACATAGGACAGTGCCAAAGTAACGGTCCTTAGAGAATGTCACGAAATGATCTGATGAGTGCTTCTATTTAGATGCCCTTTATATGAGCTCACCAGTTATCCCCAAGCTCTATTTTTCTGAAGCCTCTTACACATATTAACAATATCTATCTTCCTTGTTTGATCTTCAGTCATCATCTTCTCACTAGTTTTTTTCTCCTTTAAATACACTCACCTTTTTCAGATTTTCCAGGCTCACATTGAATAGCTCAATAAAACTTGAAATAGGTTATGGTAGAGAAGGTCCTTGAGTTATTTCTAGTTTCTTGCACAGTAAGAGCTGGCATCTTGCATATAGTTTAGTCTTTTGCCTGTTAACAAGGGATCACTGTGAGCCTGTTAACAAGGCCCACTTTCCACTTTCCTTGTCTCAACAGTTAGCCCTCCAAAAGCTTTCGCTGACTTCTTAACCAGTTGGTGGCCAGCAGCATATGCCAAGGAGGAAGATGGGCAGCCTCTGCAGAGTGGTGTCCCAGCTGCCAACAGCTCGCAGCTGAGGGAGATTTTGAGCTACAAATGTAGTGGTGGTGGCTCATAACCTGGGAAGGTGTTTGTGTGTGTGCATTTGTCTGCATTTTGAATCTGTCTATACTTTTTCCAGTGTACACGTAGAAAAAAGTGTCCCTTCCTTTGGGAAATGCCCTATCTCTATACAGTTATTTCCACTTCCACAAAAATATCCCATATATATATTACAGGCTTTAGGTAGGGCTGCTTGGAGTTCTTTGTTTTGTTTTATTTTTTTGGTTTTGATGACAAATACCAGTTGGTTGAAATCAAAACTTTTCAGAAACGTACTGATTTCAACAAACCTAATTTATCTGAGCCTGGATGGAATTTAGGGGAGGAAAGGGGAAAAAGAGAACCCTTCAACACCTTGCTAGAGAGGAGAATTTCTGGGGTGTGAAGGAACCCAGTTCATATCTGTGCTGTGCTAGACAGCATCAAGGTGCCTTACTGGTCCAGTGAATGTTGAGTGATTGACACAAAGCGGAGCACCTTTGCATGGAGACATGGAAGGAGAAAGATATAATGGCTGACTTCTTAACCTAGCGTTCTAAGTTTTACATCAGCAATGAGAGTTAATCATAATAAAAATACTTGAAGCCAGATCTTTTCATACGGGGTAAATTTCCTCACCAAAATAAATGTGGAGGGCATCTGTTCGACTTGGAAATATTATTGATGTTAAATGGATTGGGGGGGGGGGGGGGAGGAAAAACACAAACTTGCACTTTGGAAAAAATTCCCAGCTACCTCTTGTTCCAGATTCAGATGGTCAGTTTTGATTTGAGTTATGTGGTGGCTCAAATCTAGGTAGAGTGTAATGGACCTAGAGTGTAATGGACCTAGAGTGAATTACTTATTTATGCCTTGTCTACATGTTAAAGATCAGTGTTTGAATTGCAGAACTTAATATGCGCGTTTGGCAGATAGGATGCACTTTTTCTGCTCTTGGCTTATGTTTGTAAGTGCTATTATTGGCACTGGTGTCTACCTCATAGCAAATAGTTAATTGCCAGGTCATAAACACACACCAAAGTGAGAATGTATGTAGTTCCTAACATTTTTATCTGATCTGCTTAGCATTTCAAAGCATTAGCGCTGCTCGCTCCCGAAGATGGTTAACCAGTGACACATCTGTAGCTTGGACTGTCTTTTTTTTCTTGCATGTTAAAACTGCAGTAACATTTTTGGCGACTGTTTTTTCCCCTCCACTAACAGTGAATGTCTTCTTTTCTGCAGTAAAGCTGTGATGGATCTGTTGGTTGATTTATGTAGCCGGTATCACTTGAATCCAGCCCAACATAGTCTTGAACTGAGGTCTCGGGGGATGCAACAACCTTTGAGTTACAAGCCAAATACTTTGATAGGAGCACTGGATGTGCAGACAATACTTCTGAAGGAGAAGGTTCCTGAGGAAAAGACAAAGCGACCTCCACCAAGGGTCCCCGAGGTCAGTACTCTGGGGGTTTAAAACGGTGCCGTGGACCATCATTTCATTCCTGTGATGGCAAGCACTGAGGCACTTTCTTCCCACTTCACCAGTCTTTAATCCAGATGAGGCAGGCTTGAGATTGGTTGTAACCTGCTTTACTAGTTTCACTGATTTGCACGCAGGCTGGTAGCTAGAATGTCTTGTTGCATGCAGTTAGGTAGAGTGAAGGCTCCTCTTGTAAAGACTCTTGATGAAAGACCTTAATGACTGGAATGAACAGCAGTGGCTAAACTGAGGGTTGTGGGATTGTGGGGTGGTAGGCAAGGTTTTGAGGGTTTTTTGTTTGCCCCCTTTTTCTGGGCAGTTTGGGTGGTTTTTTTTTGTTTTGTTTTCTGCTTCTCCTGAGAGTTGGTAGGATACTAGAAAAGTAAACTTTGAGAAAAATAATTCTTTATCAAAAATATGAGAAAGGACTAATTGTAAGTGCATTCACAGTATTGTGGAGATTCAGAAACAGCCATCTTCCAAGTATTTGTTCATTGAAGTTTATATTGGTGGGAACCAGCAGAGCGAATTACACTGTTGTTTTAAGTAGGAGTGGTGCTTGTAAATGGTGATAGAAGAAGATGGATGCTTCCGGTTCCTCTTTCTTAGTCACTTGCTGTGACTCTCTCCGTAGTGACAGAATTCTGAGTCCTGAGAGGTTTTTTTTTTTTTAAATTGTTTTCAATAGTGTGTGTGTAGTAAGGAGGAATCATGGCAGCGTGGATGTCCCCATTGCCTTTCTCATCACAAGGCAGCATAGCTGTCGCTGGATGAGGACTGAGAATTTTTGTGTGTTTCTGCAGAAATCGGTGAGGCTGGTAGTGAATTACCTGAAGACGCAGAAGACCGTGGTTCGAGTTAGTCCGGAGGTCCCTCTCCACCACATCATCCCTGCTATATGTGAGAAGTGCGAAGTCAGTCAGGAGCACGTCGTCCTCCTGCGTGACAGCGTCACCGGGGAGGAGCTGGAGCTTACCAAGTCCTTGGAGGAGCTGGGTATAAAGGAGCTGTACGCCTGGGACAGAAAAAGAGGTGAGCCCAGGCAGAAAGTGAGCGCTGCTGGGTTGGATCACATGCCAGCAATATTATGGGCGACTCTAACGCGTTCATGCTCTCCACGCTTTGAGGCGTGACTTAAATAGGACGGTGACATTTCAGTTGGGTCCTTCGCGCCCAGCTGGGAGCAGCCACGTCCCTGGGAGTCCCTGGCTGCTCTCGCCCTGGCCTTGGGCCAGCAGCCGGCGAGTTGGCTGGGCGCCACCAAAGGAGGAGCTTCGCTACCTCCCCAGTGGCTGTCAGTAAAGATGCACCTAACCCTGGGGCTCGCCCGCCCGTGCTGCAGGCCAGGCAGAAAGCGGAGACGTGCCCTAGCCGTGGCAGCCATGAAAGCCAGGAGAGAAAGGTGACGTAGCCCAGGGCTGGTGAGAGCACGGTCGCCGATCGCGGGTGAGGCAGCTCCTCTGCTGCCTGTTTCATGAAGATGAACTGAGGAGGTATCTGCCTTTAAAAATTTGTTGTTCTTGCTTATTCCCCCCCTTTCAGACAGTATTCCCGTGGTACCTTCTCGGGCTGGAGTTTTAGCACCTCGATCGTGTATTCAGATGGCATGAATATGAAACGTGCTTTAAAGATACACATTGACGAGTGCTATTTCCTTTGAGGTCAGAAAGTGCTATTCATTAACATTGTTTGCTGCAGTTTGTCTCAGTCAGTATTACTTCCAGCACAGTAGACGTCCTTACTTACTGTGTAGAAAACGTCAGTTGTGTGTGCGGTGCGCAGCAGGCTTATTTTTTATTTATACAGTAATTTATTTATGTTGATGTTCCGTCTCTTCTTTCAAACTTCTTTGGTAAGTGACAGTTCTCCCTCTGTGCGAGTCAAATTTCAGTGAGTTTAGTCTTTTAAGTAAGCTGAATGTCTCCTTTTCCTTTGAATTGTCAGGAGGCTCAAAAAAGTGGCTGACAAGGTGTCATAACTCCATTGCGTGTTTTTCTTCTTCTGAGACATGTTTACTGTAATTAAGCTAACCGTTTTGGAGCAACATATTGAACGTGCAGAGTATTCAACAGGAGGGCATACAGCAGGGACAACGTAGAGAATAATTAGCTGAGGCCTGCTTTAAAGTCTTTCTTTAAAATGGAAGTGATGGTGTAGTCGGGTACAATGGTGTAGTGGGCCCTAGAGTCCGGATTTCGGGAGTCCAGTTACAGCTTGGAGAGACAGCTACGACGCTTGACTTTAAGGCTAGGATTACAGCTGACAATCAAATAATGCTGCATAGTGTGCTGCTCTTTGCATCGGAAACAGCTTTTCTTTCATTCTGTCTCTTTTTTGCACCTCTTAGTACGCCCTTCATTAGAATAATATTCTCCCTGACCCTGAGCATATTTCAGCCTTTTTTGCCTCTCCCTACCCTAGCCTGCACCCTGGTGTCTGATGAGAAAAATGGTAAATATATATATAATTATATATATATAAAAAATTAAAATTTGTGAAAGGTCCCCTTTGTTCCAGCAAATTCCTCCCTCCCGTATTCCAATCTTTAGTCTCAGAGAGAACGAGTGCCGCTAATATGTCTGTGGGTTGTGCAGCGAGTAGGCAGTCTAGTCTATTCAATTATCAGAAGAGCAGAGAGATCTTTCAAAGCCGTTCTCACGAACGAGTGTGGCCTCAGAGCTGCTGAACGCATAGGCTGCTTGTGAGAGCAGATTCTAGAAAAACTTAACGCTTACCAGTCTCTCCTTCCCTGAAGGAGAAATAGTGAATTCTGAAGCCATAGCAGAAGTGTGACCAAAAGACAAGCTTTGCTGCCACCTGCTTCCGTAACTTGATTTAGCAGCTGAAGGAGCTTCACGACTGAGTCGAGAACAAGTACAAACCTCTTCTCAGCTCGGTAGCTTCTAGGAGCAGCTCTGCATGTCTGGTTTTAGACGAAAAGTTTTTGCGGTAGTGCTTCGGAAAATAAACGCTAGTGTTGTGCCTTAGTAAGCAATATTAGAACTTTAATATGTTTTCTCTTGTCCTTTCGTTGCTTGCCTTTTCCAGTTCCTCCATCCAAAACTCAGTCTGAACCTTCTCTGAACTATAGAGGTACTGTACAACGCTGCTTAGGGAAGATCAGCTTTGCCTTCACATTGTGTTGAGCATGGTTTTGGTAGATAGCTCTTTAAGAAGGTAGTGCTTTTTTGCAGTCTGTGTTATCTTTTAGACGGTGCTGTTTACATGGCTGTGCTTTTGTTGAGAAGAAATACGTTTGTGTGTGCGCTGTTCCTTCAATAACTGCTGATAAAATGTCAACAATTAACAAATGCTATCATTAACTGATATGTGGTAGTGTATGCTTCTGTATAGATGCTCAGCTTTTTCCTGTTACCTAAAACATGATTTATTTGAATTTCAGAAATACTAAAATTTCAGAGATCTCACAGGCTCAAAATTCATATGGTAGCAAAAATATTCTGATACCTATGAGATCTTCCACTAATTCGAAATAGACTTGTAACTAAGCATTTAAATGTCAAACTTAAATGTACCTATATGCAGTACATCACTCTGGATAGATACTGACTTCTGAATTGCAGTAGATAAGATTTAATTAGATTACATTGTGCTTCCATTTCCAGTTACATAGAAAAGGTGTATGCGTAGTATATCCTATTTCCCCACTGAATCTGTTATAATATATTGATTAAATCAAAATACCCTCAAGAAAGGTATGCCTGATTGTAGCTGGCTTTATTTCCTTGCCTTCCTAGTAACCCCAACGTAGCCAAAACAAACTTGGAGATGGCTTCTGCAAACTTTCAGGAAGGAAGGCAGTCCGCCACCCAGTGGCCGGCCATGGTGCCAGTCTTAGCCAGAGGCCATTTGCCTCTTGGCTCCACTAAAGCTAGTATTTGTTTCTCCCCAGTTCTTCTGTCCTAATTTGCATTGGCTTCCTCTTACATAGAGTATAATGCCAGAGTCAAGGTCCCTCGTATTTGTTTAAGAAAAATGGATCAAGACTGACATAGATTCCTTGTTGTTTTGAGATGATATGTGGGGTTTATAATCCCAATGCAGTTGGAAGAGATTTATAAAACGTTACATGAAAATGTTGATGGTCAGCTATTACTGAGCTGTTACTGGCTTATCCTGGCGTTTGATATTGAAGGCTATGTGAGTGAGGGAGCCATAATGATTCACATCCAATTACAGCCTGGCTCTGAGCCGAAAAATAGCTGTTTCTGGTGAATGAGTATAGGCAGTGCTTTGTATTTGAGGAAGGTATTAATTTATTACTATTTCTTTGCAGTGGAGTTGCAGGCTGCCTTAGGGATAGTTTCTCCCTTTTTTCATCTGGGTTCTTCATCTTTGCGCTTCTACCATGCTTTGAACTATGGTGTCTTTAACACCTTCTAACACCTGGCATTACTGATATGCAAAGTGATCCTGTGTGAAAATAATGTGCTTTATGTGAAATGCAAATCGGTTTGCAGGAGTTCTGGGATGACTCGTTTTATGGCAACAAACAATTCATTTTGCATGTGCTTCTTAATTATTATTAAATGAAGAAATTACTTACAAAAGAAAGTGGCTTTTTTTCTGTACGTGAAACTTTGTGTGCCAGTGGGACACTCTGATGTCCTTGGAACCAGGGAGAAACCCATATAGCATTACACAGTGCCCATTAAAATTAGGGATTTACACTTGACTGGGCCTGAAAAATATAAGACTTTTACAAGCTGTATATTGAATGTCAAACTAATGGTTGTTCCCTGTAGCACAGGACCTCATTATATTGCCCATTGGGCTCTACTGGTGTTGGGGAGGTTGAAGGGAGACCAAACGATCTGAGAATTCATGCAATTCCTTAGCCAGTTTGAGGAGGACGTGCGCTTTTTGAGCTCTTGCAGCCTGGAAGGCAGAGAGACCTGCCTTGCTTCCCACCTGAAACAAAGGCGCCAGGACAAGAAAGGATCAGCCTGACTAGCCTGGTTTAGGCTCTAAGGAGAGCCATGTTTCCAGAGGACAGGGCTCTTCCTTCCTTATCGAGGTTAATCCAAATCCACATTGAGAGTCTTTCCATTAGCTTCCCTGGGTTTAAGTAAGTCAGGCCCATGGAGTGTTAAAGGTATTCACCATAATCATTTTGAAAAGTCAGGTTTAGGGTATTACAGGGGTATTACAGGGTATTATAGTCCTCCGTGAGTTCGAAGGTAAGCTATCTAACAAGCGTTTTCAAAGGCTAAGCAACTGACTCTGGAGTACAATAGGTTTGATTGAAACTGAAATTTATGAAATTACTTCCTTTTGCCTCCTGTAGGCTTTGGAACAAACTCAGAATGAGTAAAAGTTTGAAAAAGAGAATGCAGGATATGGCACTTACTTAAATAGTTTAGTTCATAACTTCTCCCGAGTATTTCAGTTCATAAAAATACAGCATTAAGTCGGGATATTTTAAAATAGTGATCTTCTGATTCTTTATTTCATAAATGTAAAAAATATTCCATTATAATCGTTTCAGAACCAAGTCGAAATGCCTCAGTAAGCAATGATGCAATAGAAAAAGAAAAGCGAGGATTTCTGGGATTTTTCAAAGCTAATAAAAGAAGCAGCAAGGTAAGTGCTCAGTAGTGTTTTACCTTGCTAAAGAGAATTGCTTTCTTTCCAGCTGCATTTCACCTGTGAGTATTATCTTATGTTTGTTTTTTCAGGGAGTCTTCTGTTAGCAGATGCATAAACTGTGTTTGAGCAGTACACCTTGATGGAGATTTCAGCTGCTAATTGAAAGAGCTGGGCTGGTTGTGCATTTAACTTGTTTTTTGAAATGCAAAGCATTAGCGTTTAGTAGGCGGTACCAAAGGGCAGTAATTTCGAGCAACTTATTTCCCTCTGTTAGTCATGCTCAGATAACAATGCATTTATGGAAGTGCTGATGTAGCATAGAGTATATCACTCTAGATATCAAGTAGAATCGTCCTTTTAACAAAGGTTTCTTCTGTGCGTGCATGGTATCTGTTTTAAAGCATTTGTATCTTTAGTAAGATCTGTGCTGTCAAGTAATTGCCATCTCTGAGTATGCAAAACTAATGAGTCCAATATAGAATAAAAAAACTGCAGTACTAAAAGGAGTAATAAACTGAAGGATCAGTATCTGCTGATGCTCATATTTTTTACCTTTGTTTTTAATCTTGTGCTGGAAGCTTAAAAAAAAATCAAACAAGAATTTTCAAAAAAAAAAGTGCATGAATATTGGAGCTTTAAGGAAACAAAATATCATGAATCATAATGCTTTCCAGGAGCTGTTAGTGTTGCAATTGTTTTCCAGTTCTGGTTCTGGATTATTACTCCATTAAGAGGTATGAGGGGTTTTTTTTTTGTTTGATTTGTGGGTTTTTTTGTTTTTTGTTTTTTTTGTTTGTTTTTTGTTTTTTTTTTTAACATCCTGTCTGCCAAAGGACTTGCTCCAGGTAAATTCAAGATGTTTCAGTGGTTAAACTTAACTACCGTAAAACAACTATAGAAGAAGATATGACAGTGACTTTATAAGGGAAAACTGGAGGGTAATAGTTCTGCATTCTCTGTAGACCTCAAAAATTTATTGAGATGCCTATATGAAAAGTATGTGCCACTCATCACAGAAAGTAAATACAAAAAAAAAATTCTGAGTCAAGAACAAACAAAAACAGTGGGTTTTAACTTTATACTTTTCACAGGCTTAGCTACAAGTTTCACTATCAAGTGACTGTGATTATAAAGTGTTTAACACTACAGGATGTCAGAGTAGAAAAAGAGTTTTCTTTTGTATGATTTAAGTACACATCCAAGGCTTTTGCAGTGAAATCAGAGTGTGTATGTATCTGATTAACTGGTTCTTAAAAACATATACTTTGTTAGTGGACTGGTGTTTCACTTACCCTTTCCAGTCTTCCCAATCATATTCTTAAATCTTCCCAAATTTTCTGCCCTTTCGGTTATGATCATATTTGGAATGCTTTTGCCAGGCAGTAGCTTCCTTTACAGACAGTAAAGGGAGTTACTGTATTGAAAAATCTAATCTGCCGTGGATGCTGAGCTATTAACATTTTATAGAGGATACATGAAGGCTATATTTTATGAGATAGGAAGTCAATCACTTCAAAGTGTTTATTCTCCATAAGAAAAATTTTCCCATTAAGAGTGGAACCAAAACAGAACACTGAAGCAATAAAACTGTATCAGCCTGGAAGAAGCTAGTAAACAAGGAAACTTGAATATAAGCCTCTAGAGCATGCTACAGGACTGTATGTCCTCTAGAGAAACTAACTGTATTGCAGCATACATTATACGGCGCTATAGCTTGTCCTCCGATTCCATTTTACTAAATTTTGCTATGAAGTATGTTTTTGTGGAATGTACTTTCTGAAGCAGCTCAGATTTAACTTATAAAATATTTACACTTGCAACATCGGAAAACTTGGCTGTGAGGAATGTCAGTTCTGTAGTTACCACAGTAGGTTTCTCACAGCTGTTAGGTTTGGGATGAGTGTTTTAAGATTCCAAACTCCTTATATTTTTTCACTGCCCTCTCTCTTTTCTGTTCTTTTTCATGTTTGCTGCTTGGAGACATCAGAGGTGATACTGTGGGATTTTTTAAATATCTCTTCTAATAAAGACTAAGGATATTGAGGGTCAGTTAATAGCCTAAGTTAATATTTGACCCGGGAGCAAGTAGGAACTATATAAACAAGCATGAGCAGCAGACTTTAAATCTGTGGTAAAGGTGTAAGTCTTGCTAGTCTTGCTAATTCTGGCAGGTTAACTGACTTTTCTTGATAACTCTTGTATTTGTTTCTTTCTCTCAAAGGACAAATAGTCCATAAGAAGAGAGATTAAAACAGTCATTTTGTTTAGACCAGCAAGGAAATCTCCATTGCCTTTTCAGTATGAACGTCCAGCAGTTTGAACGCAAGTAGAGAGCATTACTTAAAACTAAGGCAGAGCACAGCACACGAGAGCAAGTAGATGTGAACTGGCCATGAATGCATCTAGCTTGGTGTTATGGAAGGTGTCTAGCGAAAACACTAGGGGACGTGTTGAACAGACTTAGTTAGCAAAATGGGGGCAAACCCATTAAGTTCTTCTAAGAAAAGATTTGATAGGTTTATGAAGGTGTTGCTCTGTGATTCCAGGGTACTGGAATCAGTGGCCCAAGATGTCTCTTACAATACTCTGCTCTTTGCTGTGTTACTCTCTTACAGTTTTTTACTCTGTAAGACTTCAGTCGGATCCACTAATTTGTTTTTGTTGTTTTTCCTTTTCCCTCCTCATTTTGCCTTGTGATTTGCGGTGATTCTGTATGTATGCATTCGTGCATGGTCTGTGTTTTACAACTAGTTGATACTGCCTGTCCTGAGCCTTGAACAGAAGCAGCACCACAGAGCTGCAGGCATTGACGAGGTGATGGTTTTCTTTTGCAAGGGAAGAAGAGAGTGTTAGCCTGTGTTGCAGACTGCCCTGGATCAGATGTCTCTCCATGCGACGGGCCTGTGCTCAGATATCCTTCCCCACCTCACATGCCCACATGCATGCTTTTTTCTCAGTCCCTCCCAGGTAGCTCACTGAGGGCAATAACTATGCTGTGACAATACACTAGATCTAACTTTTTAATATGGCAGGAGAAAACCCAAAACACCATGACACAAAACAGAAAGCAGAGACCTAGTGTCGTGGTTGATATACAAATTTGTTCAAGGTGTTTCTTTGGTTAACTTTGTGCTGGCAGGCTTAATGCCAGATCAGGTATCGTCTTGTTCACTCCATTCCAATTTTATGCTGGATCGGTTACCCTCTGTTCTCCCCCAGCTGGCATGAAAACAGAAAGGTGGCATTAAGTCTGTATTTGATGTGAAACATGCCCGAGGCTAAATCCAGATCAAGCTGGCACTGCTCAGCAATCCAGTAGTGCAGAGGTCCTGTGGAGGTGATCATGAGATCTAGGCTTGAGAAAGGTATATATGAGCACAGAGAAGCAGTCCTATGAACGTTGTGTGTGGGGTGAGGTACCTTACTTGTCCCCCCGTCTCAGTAGGTGTAGCAGAGGGTGACAGTCTGGCCCTTCATGCTGCAGGAGCTGCCTGCTACCTATTTGCCGCCTTTTTGCCTTACATTGTTCTGTTTGTTTGCTTATATTCCTATTCTTAAATTTTTCTGCTAATAGATTTCTTTCCTTGCCCATCAGAGAAGTTTTGCAAACGACTTCAGTGTCTCTCAGCAATTGGGTCCAGCACTACTGAGGCCATTTGTCTTGGTTCTGTGATGATGAGGTTTGATGCTCTGGCATGTTTTTGCTCTATTTTGATTCCTTTGCCACTGCTGTGTAGGATACTTGTTTGTGTTGCAGACAGAAGAACACTTGAGGATGGACAGAGATTGTGGTGAGGAGGATGTTTTTAGTTCTACATCTACAAGTGAAGGAAGCTTGGATGTAAGTACTAACATGGCTCGTAGATGCTATTGCATTCCTATTAGACCCTGCAGTTTGAACAGCCAGAAGACGCTGCTCTTCCCTATGCTTAGCTGAGTAGAAGTAGAAATAGCATACTTCGTAGCAGTCCTCCCAAGTTAGTTGTCTGGGTGCACAGTTCGCACATCTAGGTGCAATGCATTATCTTCAAATGAAATTCTTGCTAGCTTCAATATAAATTACGTTTCTCTCAGTGTTAAATTCTAAGCAACTGTGAGCAAAAAAAGTGGTTTAATCGAGGAGATAGGCGTTGTCCTCGTTTGAACGGGACTCTAAGACAGTGACCATACTGCATGGAGCAAACATACGTTTTCCATGTCGGAGACATTTAATGGGGGCTTTTCTTTCTTAAAGCTATAAATCCACAGCTCTCATTTCTATCCCTTTACATATTTTCTCTGTGCATAGCAGCATTCCAGCTGTTTCTTGTGTAGCAGGGGGAGGTGGAGGTTAGAGAGTGCTTTTGTTTTGAGTGCTAGGAATAGCAGGAGAGACTTTTGTTTCAATAGTTTTGGGGGTATTAAAATCCTGTGAACCAGATCTAGAAAGGTTTTTAAGTGCCTGACAGGTACACCTGTAATCCAAATTACTTAGATGTAGGTATCTAATTAGGAACTGTGAATCCTAAATCCTTTCAGAAGGCTGTTCTGGTGTATTAGTGATCACAGTTACTGGGGTCCTTTTTTGTTGCATTATTTAATTACTTGGCTTTTTGTTATAATATTTTCAAAACTTGGAGAAGACAGTGTTGGTGGCATGATAGAAGCCCGAAATGTGAGGCTTGGCTCTGAATACCCCTTTCAGAAACAAATATTTGGAAAAGGAGTGCTGAGGCATAAAAGGTGCAGGTCACTAGTCAGGGGAAGGAGTGACAGAAAATTGTGAATAAGTGAAGGAGGAGGAAGGAGACAGCAGAACCCAGATAAAAAGGATCAAATAAAAGAAGTCAAAAGGTGAAAACAGACGGAGAAGTGATTAGTTGAGATGGTTAAAAAGCATCCAACTTGGCAAATCTGTGAAGACTTCATAATGAAGGAGTACAGAGATATGAAAACTGCTTATGACACTAAAAATTCTGGTGATACTACAAGGAGGAACAATGCTTTATTGAGAAAGCTCTATCAAGAGTTCTAGTAGAAGGTGATATGAGTAGTTGAAATAAATATACTGGATCAGAGTATAAAGAAAACCTTGGCGAGGTCTACCGAAGTAAAATCTGCTTGTGGTTTGCCTTCAGTAGTATCATACATTGAGCTCAATACCAAACTACTGCAAGAGGAGGAAGAAGAAGAGGGATTCCAGTGAGGATATGGAGGTAGTTCAGATACTCTGGACTGTCTTAATGTTAGTATGTGCTTGTTCTTCAAAAGAGGAATGTTTCTTCATTTATTTTTGTAGGAAATCTGATAGGGCAAGTTGCAAATGAAGACCTATTTTTCTTTTGACACTGATGAGAAAAGTTTTCGAAGCTATCTTGAACATACAATGTTGTCTTTTAAAAGCGCAAGCACTTAAGGTGCAAAGAAATTTTGGAGTAAGAGGTAAAGAAATGTTTCCTTTTTATTTAGTTACTTATTCAGTTACATGAACATGTTCAGGTCAGATTAAAACTTCTTCTTTTTCCTCCTAAGAGCATTTAATCTTCAAAAACAATGCACCTATTGTTCAGTATTTGTTTCTTTCCTTTCTGGCTTGACACTTGCTTGTATGAGCACTGATTCTGCTAGGACATAAGCACGTACTCACATGAAGGTATTGAAGTCATTCCATTTAATTTGGTATTATTCTGTTAAAGTTTGCAGAAAATACAGAGAATAAGTGTAACTGATTTGCTCAGCAGGACAGAAAGTCCATCCTTCAAGCAGACTAGATGAGCCTCATAAAAAAGGTAAACAGTTGTGACAGCTTGGGGAACAAGTTCTAGAAGACACTGAACTTGTCCTAGCTAAATCTTATTAACTTAAGGGAGATGAAAAATTCAAGTGGAAATTCTGTTGAGTAGGGCAATTTGTAATTTACAGTTTAGCCGTTCCTTATGGGCTGGACTTTGAGATCCGAGAATCACTCGAGTCTGAGTAATTCTTCACTGCACTGATTTCTCCAAAGACAGTCTCACTGAAGTACTTCAGTAGAGTTGAGTATCCTTATTCAAACTGAGTGATATCTTACATAGCCTTAAATGTGAAATATACATTTAGAGCTCATTATATATAAAAATTTTCACTGAAGTAAGATAGGATTTTCAGCAAAATGTCACCCAGTAGAAGCTTCCTCTGTTATAATTTCCTCAAGTCTCCTGTCTTTTGCCATTTTGGGTCATCTTGAAAGTATTTTGCATTGCTGCATGGGTACCAAAGCCAAAGTTTCACATTTATTTATGAAGGGAGAATAGTTTGGCATTAACTTGGAGTGATTCTCTTCAGCATGGTGCAAGGAGATAAGCTGGCTGGTTCAGTAAAACCATTTTTGTCTGTGAGGAGATGGGCAATGCAATTCACTGAAGTACTACGGAGGTAAGAGCATGACAAACAACTTCACTATGCTTAGCTTAAATCCTTTTCTTAGTGTATGTGTCAGTGATCTGCACTGCATTGTAGAAAAGGTAATGACTCTGTCCTAGATGTTTATTGTTTGTTTGAAAACTGAGCAATATGAAGGAATGGTATAAAGCTGTAAGAAATAAGAGATCTTTGGCATTAATGCAAGCAAAAGTTGTAGTCTTTTTTTTTTTTAACCATCAAACCATATTTGTGGCATATTTATCTAAGTATTATTGGAATTATTAATGCCTCTTAAAAGTATTTAGGGTTGTTGATGGAGAGGCAGATTTTTCAAAGTCCATATGGGAAAGTCAACACTTGTGCTGGAGGTGAAAGGAAATTTATTCACAATATCATGAAAAATTGAAGAGAGTAGAGAAAGAGGAATTGGTTAATGCCTTAAAGAGAATTAAAAATGCAAGAAAAGTATTTTCTGTGACAGGTCTCAGATCACAACTGTTCATTTTAGTGTGTGTCAGTAAATAATGTAATGGATTTGAAATCTGATGGGGGTATTGTAGATGATGCAGAAACCTCTCCTTTTAACTCTCTGTTGATTTTGTGCTAAGCAGAAGATCCTATGACCGGTGTAACTTTTCATAAATCAAATGCTATTGAAATAAAGCAGTTGGAAATTGCTGCATATTTAACCATATTCCTCATTCTCTGCGCCAAAGGCATACAGTCTGACAGCTGGAATTTAGAACAGCTAGGAAAATAAAATGAGAGTATGTCATCTTTGCCACTTGGTGTCACTGTCCTCAAATAAAGAGCTGATCAAGCTGAAACCCAGTATTTGGAACACAGTACTAAAATTAGCTATTTTTATTTTGAGGGTCTTTGTTTTCATAAATCAAGAGCAAGAAAGCACATCCCAAGCGCTGAACGATGGTATCTCCAATGTGGAATTTGTTTATGTAATAAATCAGCTTGGGAGAAAATATTTAAAAGTACAGCCAGGAACACTTATCAGAGGTTTTGAAACTTCAGCACAAAGTCTTATCGCTGAAGGTTTCTCTAGTTCAAGACAGGGCTGCAGCCCAGGGCTTCAGTGTTAGAAGATTTTCATCAGGACATGTGGGACAAACTATGGAAAATCGAGTCTTCAGTCCAAATATAGATGTTACTTATAACTGAGAATCAGTGAATGAGGCAGACAGTCCGGTAGGTCCATGCTTAATGGAGCTATGTCACAGCCTTTGTTATATATGTTTGTGAACATGCATATTATCTATATACCTAAACTATCAGAACAATTCCATGTCATTTTAATCCTAAAGGGTTAGCAGGTGTCTTTAGGATATGTGCAAGTTTTCTTTCTACATTTTAGTGCATACACGTAAAGCAAGGTCAGAAGAAAAATACTGTGCTAACGTTTGAAAAAGTCAGCAGAATTCTGCCCATTGCTAACTTTGGCAGTCACTTTTTAAATGCTGGGAACAGATATTTTCCCTGTGAAGACGTTTTTAGAATATATTGTTCACCTCTGCAGGACTTTGTTTACTATTGGCATGCTCTAACTTTTATGCCCTTAGAGATGGCAGGAGTTATACCATTAATGATGTAATTTCCCAATCCAGAAGTAGTTGGGAGAGGGATCAAGTACTGTTAGGCAAAAGTATCTGGAAAGGTGACTTCTTTTCAACCATGTCAGGCCCCAGCTGATCAGTGAATACCATGTCCTCTGTCGGGGATTTCACCTCACATAGCCATGTACTGTTTGAGGCAGTAGCAAAGGTGTCCCGAGGACAATACAGTCCGCATTACCTGAATGGAAGTGAACTTTTAATATTTCAATATTTATGACAATCACATTCACTTTAAATTCCTGTTTTCATGCTCTTTGTTCTTCTTGGTATTCTAGCAGTGTTTAAGGTCCTGGTTACATATATTTGCTTGTACTTGCAGGGCCAAATCCTGGGATATCTCTATTGTCCCTTCTACGGGTAGTTTTATATACACTGCCAAAGGCATAGCTTGTGACCTGGCTTTGAAACATTTTTGCCTAGTTTGGGCTTGTTTGCAAAATGCATAATCCAGCAAAAGGGATGGGAAGAGTTCTCTAAATATTACAGCAGTCAGGTCTGTCTCCACGAGTCTGCTGTGAAAGGGCGTCTGTACGTCAGTAGTTATATGCCAGTGGATGACACTCGAGAAGATAGCATAGTTATAAATGTTTTCAGTTGTGCGACTGTTTACGTGTTTGGAGGAAAAATAGATTTATTAGATACTAGATATCTCAGAATAAGGTTTGTCGTCTCCTTGAGTTAGTTTTATTTTGATACTTTGTGATACTCTCTGAAAAAATTATTTTGTTGTGAGAAACTTGGTGAGTTGGTCAAAGCCAACTGGCTCGTGACTGGCATTCAGAGAATTCAAATAGACAGCAAAGAGGAGAGTCATCAACTTTCTCCTTGTCTA